TTGGTATATACATCGCAAAATTGTCGCGATAAGTTATTGACTTGATAACGTCACTTATTATCTGTTGAGAGTTTATCTTATCCAGTAATAGCTAAATATTAAGAATATCTTAACGTGCTAGTTGGTGGATAGGTATCGCCAATAGGTATCTCATCTTTTCGCGAGAGGCATAAAATATATTTTAATTAATTGGTAAAGTCCCTTTTTCTTTTTTTTTCTCGCTAAGTCATTAAAACCATATTAACAGACATACAAACTTCGTCGCCTTCGCAGATGAAAATGATTTGACAGTGAAACATTGCAACAGATATCACAAATGTTAATGATATTTTCTCTATTTGAGCACACGAACAAGAACATTTTAAAAATGAGATTTATCTAGAACATATTTCAAAAATTGTCGATTTTAAAGAAACGCCAGTAAGGTAATCGACGATTTCTGCAAGTTCTGTTTAAATATCACAGAGAAAAATTAAGTTTTATATCAGATCTTGACGGAAAATTGTATATATTTAACGTGCCTCGCGTTTGTGACAGTAAACATTTTTTTTCGTTATTAAATATTATGTTTTGTTACATACACAATAATGATTATATTGTTATTTGCCGTATACTTTATTTTGTAAGTTTGTCGTATTAGCATGATACATGTTATTATGATTCTATTATAAGAGAGACATTAATATAAATGTCGATGTATACGTTGTGTTACGCTTTCGTTATACATGTAAACCCTAACATTTCTAGAACTCTAACATAGCTATTTCATTCTCACTTCACGTTTATATTAGTTCCTTCAGGTTACGTTTTTAATATATACGGAAACAAAATGCTTGTAAGTCGAGAAATAAAAAAAGATTAGTTTAATTTTCAGTTGTAATTGCGTTATTTAAAAATAATTTCAACCAATTTTTGTGACTTCTAAATAAATATGTTTGTGCGGCGTAAGCAATTTCTTTTTTTATTGTTATTTTTTTCGCAAAAGAAGTCGAGAACAGAACGAATGAAGAAATAAAGTGTATTTATACTGGGTAATAGAGTACGACGAAAGTGTACACAGATAAAAGGTGCGTATGTAGTAATCTGCGGCTGCAGAGAATACACGCGATTTACTATATAAAAAAATCGTTTGACCGTAACGATGGAATGTGTGTAAAATAAATTCTAGTTCCATAGACTCGTAGGTGCCTAAAGTCAGCAATGATCCAATAAGATCATTAAAGGTGAACCTATTCGCCCACAGAGAAAGACTTCTTTTTAGACACTTTTCTATCCCGGAAACCTTTTCCGAAGTTCATTTTCACTCATTGTCATGAGACGAATGAGTTTTTCGGCGGATTGAGACCGACGAATGGGACAAAAAAACTCACGCGAATGAGATAAATAAATCCCAAAAACGCGAAATTCGACAAACGACGAAGCGGATAATTACTTAAGAAAACACCCAATGGTACGTTCCTGAGATAAAAAGGACCAAATTAAGAGCAGAATGATCCGTATATGTCTCTCCATTAAAGGAGGCTGGGATCAATCAGTGTGACCCTTTTTGAAATTCGAATCAAGAATTCTCTTTTTACGATTGAGCCCAAACTCCCTTGGACTTATTCACTCGAAGCAGTAACGGTGAAACTAAATAATCATAGGTGCTGGATACTGAATACGCCACTTGATATTTTAAGGTGCCTTCGCTCTGTTTGTTGCAGTAAAACTGTACTGGTAACCACCAATCATTTACCCGATCTATAAAGATAAATTTTGATTTCCACATGCGTATGTGTGCGCGTGTTTGTGTGCGTCTGTATGCGCGTGTATGTATGTACAAGTGTAAATTTTAGTTAGTAACAACTAACACGAACGTATCGACGTGTTGCTTTCGCTCCCAAACGTTTCATCACGCACGCAAGTTTTTGAAGAAAAAGAGAGGAAGAGAGAAAGAGAGAAATAAAGAGAAGGAAAGCAACAATGAGCAAATTTTCTTTCACGAAAGAGAAAGTAAAGTCTTGTAAACTGTACAATAGACATCTGTGTAAATAATTGTAAAATATTGGAACTAGTGTAGATTGTTGAAAAGTCTCGTCATGTATCAACGAAAAGCATAGCCAGATTTTCTTCAAAAATCTCGATCATAATGCAAATATTAAATTAAGAGAATAACAGAATATACACTGACGAATGAGTAGAGAAACTGCTTGTTGAATTATGAAGGTTATTTAATTATAAAAGTTTGAATTGAAACTAAAAAAGCAGACAGACATAATTTTTGGAATCGATATGTAGAACAGAGTTTAAGCTAAAATTAAGTTTACATTAATTACATACATGGTATAAGAGCACGATAGAGAGACGCAAAGATGCAAAATCAAAAGAGTATACTTTGGCAGTTAGTTCTTCTAGTATTGTCGCCAAGAGTTATTCAGAAGGAATAAAGAAGAATATTTGCAAGTTTCCTTTTATCGAGATAGAAACGAAATGGTCTATGATAATAGATCTATTCCTTGTAGTTACTACACTTTCTCATCGTAGAATCTTCTTTCATTCTTCCTTCTTCAACAAGCTTGACTGCGCTCTTATTTTAATTTACACACAAGAAGTATAAATACAAAAAGTGATGTCGAAAAGAATAGACTCGATAAATTGGCGAGAATAAATAAATCAGTCGATTTTATCATTTCGCGACCTTCGATTTCGTATTTAGAAATAATATTCTTCTTGTCAATAGATAGTTGAATGTATAAAATCTTGGGGGCAGCGTCAACTAAACAAAAAAAGTATAATCCGCGTAATTGATTTTCTATCATAAAATAAAGCTCGAATCGATCGTCCAACGTTCGCGATAACGCGTCTCTTTCGAATGGAAAAAAATTGTAGTGCAAAGCAGATTCTATGACCAATTTGATCAACTTTTTTCATGTCGAATAATCGTTTGATAATTGATAATTAATATCTTCCAGAGACATAAAACGGAATATGTATAACAGAAAATAAACACTATAACGAACTGTAAAGCACAGCTTGAGTCATAATTGTTATATTGTTTCATCGTAAAAAGAAAGACTGATATATTGATTCATTGTAAAAAGAAAGATAATTATGAAAGCGCTCTTCGTTCTGTTAAAAAGAAGAAAACAGATATTGATAACAATTTGAGAGACATTATAGTAAAATTGGTTACAGTATTAGTTTCTGCAATTAAGTGTAATCTTACATTGTACGTATAAAATAGGTATCGTGAAATGTGTTAAACGATATCGTTCAAAACCAATCCTTTTTTTCAGTTAAACAGAAGATTTGTCCTTTTTAGGAGTCCTTCTTCAGGGTTGCTACACAATTGGAAATCAGGAAAATTGAAAACAGCCAAGGAAATCAGGAAAAAGTCAAGGAATTTTCTAAAATTTTCTGGAAAAATAAAATTCTTGAAAGAAGTTTAATATGCATACATCACATCTATAATTTTGTATTATTATTAATTAAATGTAAGCAGTGTCAGTTTAATCAGCCAGTAATCAGCAATTAATAGTAATTTACATTACCATATTAAATTACTTTCTCTAAAAAATATTTGACGGTTTCCAAATCAGAAAATATAAAAATTCAAAATATTAGAAGCATAAAAAAATTATAAAATTTTGTCTGAAAACCAGAGAAAAGTGTCTTAGGATAAGGAATTTATGACAACCCCATGTGGTTGTCATTCATCTTTCTTTTCTTTCGATTTGAAAAAAAAATGAACCGTGCAAGAAGCTCAATTAAAAAGAATAGGTCTAGAAATTAACAGTTATTAATTTCTAAACGCAAATGAGGAATACAATTTGCAATTCTTAAGTTGCACTAATATTAATTTTAAGCGTGGCTTAAAACTCTCTTTGTCCCTGTCTCTTTTCGGTTTTAAAACGAGATAGAAAGAGTTTTATGTTTCACTTAAAATAAAAGTAACGGGTCTTAGAAGTCTAAAAAAAGAATGGAATATAGTTGATTTTATCCCGTTTTAATCTCTCTTTCTCGTCCTCTCTAATTTGTGCTGCTGCAAATCCCCGCAAACTCACTCTTAGCTTGAAAGTACTTTGTTTTGATAATCGCCTCGTTGATTGACGAGCGACCGATCCCTCAGAGTAGCCGTTCATCGCGTTGTGTAAAAAGAAAAGAAAAAAATAGATATGCATAAGGAAGGATATTATGTATAATGATAACCCCCTCCTTGCGACACAACGGGGACACTGGGGGACCGGGAGAAGGAGAAGCGATAATTTTGCATCGATACACCGAAACTTGCTCGGGCGAAACTGTAATCGCTTTGTATATTTTTGTAAATATACTTCTAGACACTCGATATGTACGGCGTGATGCGACGACGGGTCGGGACGTAAACGTCGAGATAGGACACAAGGAATGACATACAACGGATGATTGAATACTAATCGCAGAGCTGATTAAGAAAGAGAGAAGTGAAAGAGTTGCAAATTCTTCTCTGATCACGGTTAGCATTAAATGATATTTCCACGAGATATTTAACACGAGCTAACAGTAACATTACATCAATATTATAGTTTCCTTGACAATATAAATGTAATTTTTAATGGGAAGAATCCTACATTCGGTCGAATGGATCTTATATATTTTTTATATAAATTTATATACATTCTGATTCTGCATATCGCGTGCCGAAAATGTTTCTCCAGAAACTTAAAATGAGCATGGCAAAATCAGAATAGTAATATCACTCATTAAATTGTACAAGCAATTTATATAATAATTTTTCGAAAAATGCTATAAAGCATTTTTTTAACAGGAATATTAATTGTCATATATTGATAAAATATAAAAACTACGAATAATTTATTGTGAAAGATATCACATGTTATATATAACAGTTATATTGTTGAAGAGATTATTGACATTAATGTAACGTTGGTGCTGTTAAACAAGAGACAGTGTAATATAACGATCACTTCATCTTTGTTTAACATTAGAAAATAAGGATTCACTGTATAAAAAGATAAAGAAATAAGTTGTCACCAACAAGCGAATCTGTCAATCACGGTAGAGAACGTAAGATTATTACCCTATGTTCTCTCTATTGTCATTGGCTTAATCGCTTACTGTTTTACATATCTTACTGTCTTACGTTTTTCTATGCGTTTCTATGTTTTTACACTGTGTCTCTTGCTGAAAGCGTTCACTGTTAACTTGTGTTCCACGAGTTATTAATATCGTTTTGATTCCAATCAATTGATAATAGTTGCATTCAGCAAGAAAAGCAACTTTGCAATTGTAAGATTCTTTGATTATGATTAATTTATACATTTAGATCCAGTGAGGAATTAAGGTCAATTATATTAAAGAATCATATAACAATTACAAAGCTATTTTTTTTACTGAACGTACTGAACGCTATTAATAGTTGGAATGGCATTTATAAATCTGGGAAAAGAATTCCTAAAGGATGTAACTTACAATATTTTACTCTCCGTTTGTTTTTCGCCCTTTGTATATTGCGTGCGTATCGTGTCCTGACTCGACAATCGAATGTTCGCTTGTAAAAGAAAAATCAATGTAGAGGAAGAAGTTCAGCACGCGGTAGTTAATGCATTGGAGGATTTAATTATCGCTATTGAACAGTATATACATATATACATACTTACGTGTGTGTGTGTGTGTGTGTGTGTGTGTGTGTGTGTGTGGTGTGTGTGTGTGTGTGTGTGTGTGTGTATATAAATTGCTATTATTCTATTATAACATATACACGATATATATATTTGCGTTGACCAGTGAGGAATCGTAAAGAAATAAGCATATAGTTATAAATATAAATATCGTAGCGTTTAGTTTTACATATTATACCCGTCACATGTGTAGAAGTCGCATTCCAACGTCTAAGTTTTTAATGAAACAAATAAATTACTTTGGGCAAAACGGGTACTCTCGTCACTCGGTTCTCGTCAGTCCCTGTGTTCCTGGTAGATCCGCTTGTATATATAATCATATTTGATATTCTCGCGCTTGCAATTCTTCCAGGAGACGTCACCGGTTATTCCTCACGAGGGTAGAAGAACATGGAAGAAGAGAGAAAAATAGATACGATCTTTATTATTCGCAAAAATATGAGAATTAAATCAATAATTGTTTTAACAAGACAGAAAACTGGCAGGAGTGATCATAGATCTGTTTCTAAAATTCTAGAAAATCATGCAGAGAAACGTTGGAAATTGCCTCGAAGGCAAATCTTTGTAAGTAAGTCATGATAAATATTTCGCTAATTGCGAGATCCTGAGAGATACCTGCGTAATGATAAAAATATGAATCAACATGAAGTCTGTTCTGTTCACTGATCTGCATTGAAAATGCAGATTGATTTCTTTTTCGCTTTTCGCCAAACTTCAAATATATATTTATTTCATTTTAAGTACGAGTGAATCCCTCGCTCCATTTGCATTCACTTGCTCCTCTTTTGTTAAATCAGCTATCTATATATATATATATATATATAGGTATATGTGCTGTAATTATATTTCTTACATAAGTATAGTATAAATAAAATTATATATAACGTACATACATATAATAATGTTTGTAAAATATTAGAATCTATATACATAAATAACAATCATGTTTATAAATAATATATTTTCATGCGCGATTAGGTGTAGAAAATTCACGAATCCACCAGAATTGGAATCCAAGACAGAATAGGGGATTTACGAGCTGAAGAAATATATAGACGTAGGGGATTCTTCTTCTTGAATCCTGGTGAATCCTCACGATAGGGTCATAGAGTGTCGCCGGTGTCGACACTCGACACCGCTATGCGTGAGCGTGATGCGTCCCATCCCATGTCGCCCGTGCGCGATGTACTCTGCGCCAGACCAGTCATCAGAGACACCAGATACAGCTTATGATCTCATGCAGCCCAATACAGCCAGCTGCCAGACATCACGGCGCGCTCGTCCAATTCGCATGCACTCGTCGGCACTCGTGTTCTCGTGTATCTCGTGTACGCACATACGCTGACGATCTTCCATTGATATCAGCTAATGCCACTTGTCGTAAGCATCACTGTTCAATAGACTCGTGTTGTACTGCAGTTGGAATGCAGTTGCAGTAATTGCGACAGCGATCGCCAGTGACTATTGTAAAGTACGACGATAGTGCCACGGAATAACAATACGTCGCTCGTTATCACGAACGAACTTCAAGGTTAGGCACAAGGTTCGCGTGGCGAAGCACGACGCGGAATCGGACTTCGATTCGGAGTCCGCTTCCGAGGAGTAAACGCGCGACATTGATATCGCTCCGACAGCGGATATGGACGGCAAGGTCGACGACGAGAATCAGCGTGGCGTCAACGACGGCGACTGGGTCTGCCCTGACTCCCAGTACGTAGTTAACGTATTTATTGTTAATGCCGCTGATGCGAATAACCATTGATGACGATTCGTATCCTCGATTACGCTTCCTTTTCCCCTGCAACTACGTTTCCATTTCTCTAAATCAAGATTCGCGTATGACGCGTACGTTACAATTGAATAATGATCCATTAATGATTTTCCCCTCTCATCTTTTCAGATGTGCCAATATAAATTTTGCCAGGCGTAACTCCTGCAATCGCTGTGGGAAAGGTATGCAGCTGTACAGTTGTGTAGTGACTATAGTCTATATTAAACATAGAATGCTAGTTGCATGTTAGATACATAAAAGTACAAGTAGCATTCCGAGCATCTACTATATAAAATATTAGACATTTTACTTATATAATTTGATCTGATGCAGATAGAGGTGAATGCCCGAAAAAGAAAAAATTGGGTCAGGAAATTGGAAAAGCAGCCGCGGAAAAAAGTAGAGGCCTATTTAGGTAATGTTTACAGTTATCTTTTATTAGTAATAAACAATATGTAGAAATCAATTACTTGTACGCAAATTATATATTATGCAATTAATAGATATAAATAACAACTGTTGTTATGAAAAATAGGATAAAAATTAAGGATTTATGATAATTTCAAATAAAGCTAATATTTTTGTGCATACAAAAAGATATTATTTGTTAAATAACGATCATGTATGATGAATTTGGAATAAATATTAACATTCTGGATATTAAACATGTATTTAAAAAAACAATGTAATAAAAGTATAGAATGTTCATTTACATTTTATTGTGTTTCTGCAATATCTCTTCAAGCTGTTAAACTATGTACATATATAAATATATATGCAAAGTATAAAAAATTGCAGCGCGGACGATTGGCAATGTAGTAAATGCGGTAACGTAAACTGGGCTCGCCGACAACAGTGTAACATGTGCAACGCCCCGAAATTCGGTGAGATAGAGGAACGCACAGGATATGGAGGTGGGTATAACGATCGAGGAGTTGTCGAGTATAAGGAGAGGCGAGATGAGGACGACGAATATGATGAGTTCGGACGGCGTAAAAAAAAGCGAAAATTAGAGAAGAATTCCGACGACGACTCGAAAGATTCCAAGTACAGCAGCCCGCGTAGTAAATCTAGAGACAAGGAAGAGAGGGATGAAGATGAAGAGCAAGAAGAAAACGTAAAGTTTTTATGCTGTTAAATGTGGCGTGACTTGAAAAGTGTGATAGAATTTGATAAGTCACGCTCTTCAATATAGCATTGATTAAAATACATTGCGGACATGTAATTGATATTATAAATCACAGGAAGAAGAGGAAGATGACGAGGAGGAAGAAGAGGAAGAGGAAGATGGTGATTTATCTAAATACGACCTTAGTGAATGGGATGATTTTGCACCAGCAAAAAAAAGGTAAGTGTACATACAATTACGTTATTATCCATTTTTGTAAATGTTATTGCGAATTTTTATCTTTCAGTACAAACGGAAGTACTATATCTTCAGAAGCACAACGGTCAAGGTAAATTAATAGCGGTAATGCAATGTAAAATATATCCGTTATTCTCAATCAACATAATTAACAATGCTTTCTTATATTATTAAATTAACGACATTTGTATCAAAAACGTTTATTATAAGGCATGAAACTTATTTACAGAAACGGAGATGATCGGCGCGATTCAGGCACATCCAACCAATGAAAGGCTGTACAGAAGGACAGGTTTGACTTGGGTTTCGGGTATAAAATTGATTATGATGATCAGAGTTGCAGACAGCATACAATGTGATGAATTTTGCTAAAATAATGTATAGTTCCAGATCCTTAAGACTTAAAGTATAACCTGCTTTTTATTGCGATTATATCTTCAGTATATCGCGTAAAGACATCGAGTAGAAAGATTAGCGTTGATTTAGCAAAAGAAAGAAGCGCAAGCGTTCTTCTCATTCAACATATGAATTTTTACAGGTGAACCAGGAGATGAAAGAACGCAACCAGTGCTCGGCAACTAAGAAATATACACAACGCAAGTTTTAGTAATTTAGTATGCACCTTTGGATATAAAGTGGCCGATAATGTGTGACTTATTACAAAGGGAAATCGACTAACAATAAGCTTTACATTTATAATTGAGCTCATAGCTTCGTTGATTCCTAAGGAAGCGAAATGTAGGTCTCCTATTTGCGCGGGTATATCGTTGTTTTAACGATTGCAGAGTTTATGAAAAACTACTTCGGCGCAAGTAGTATGTTTCGCTAGCGAGATACGAGATTGATAATTTCAACATGAATCTATAGAAGAAATTATACACAGCTCGTTTTACAAGCTAAATATGACGTTGTAGAAAAAGATCTTACTCCTATTGTAATAGATGGTGTCAACGCTCTGCGCAAGCCCCGTCGTCGCAGTGTTCTAAAATTCCTATTACTTTTATCACAAACATAACTATATCGATGTAGCCGTGTCACTGCTTCACATTGCTCAAATTGCCTGAAGAAACCTAACTTTTTCTTCTTTTGTCCCCTTGTGTCTCTCTCTCTCTCTTTTTACATCATTTATCTATGCATAATGCTCGCATTAAGTGGACAATCGTCAAGTGTAGTTAAAGAATCATTCCCCAAACAGATATGTATTTTGCATCTTTTGGAAGAGACCAAAAGGAAAGGATACGTTATCTTGCTTTGACTATCACAGATTTGAGTAAGTTGAGAAACAGCCTGCTCACTTTGAAAATGTAGCGCTTTTTAAATTAGTCGTGTCCCGCGTCATTGCAGATATGGACTTGTCGTGAACTCCGACGGCCGTTCTTGAATCGCAAAACGATTATCGATCAAATATCGTACTGACTTCTTGTAAATATCTTTATTTTTCATTTATAATAAAAATCATTCATCAACAACATAATTGTTCTTAGTTCAATTAATTCTTTCCTTATATTGTAAACTACAGGTAGGGGAGGGGAGGGAAGGGAGGAAGTCATGATTATGCACAGAGTTGGTCATAGAGGAGGGGGGGATCGATGAAGGAGTATTGGGGATATTGAAGGATTATGTTGCAACAGGTATATATATATATATATAATATATATAATATGTATAATATGTATATGGTATATATGTACAATAATAAATTTGAGCTTGTTTGACTGTGTTTAAGTATTTTAGTGATAAAGGAAGGATGAATTACGGCACCGGCGTACCAAAATCCTCTTGCTCATTATACCATGCACTTTTGTATATGATTACTTTATCCCAAGTAACCAGTATGAACAAAGAGCAAAAAAAGGAGAGATTTCACTTGTTTTCTTCCTCTCTTATTTTTTTACACTCGAGCGGTAGTAACGTATTTCTTAATCTAGCAATATGATTCTTGATCTGAAGTAACGACTCTTACAAAAAAAAAAAAAAAGAAAAACCAGATTGTACATCAGTATTTACACGAACGCGAGGGATAATATTCATCCATCTTCGTTAACATTTACGATTTACAAATAGTTCCGGAAGATTTCGGTTCGAAACGACACTTCCAAGACATCAAGATAACAGATTTGGAAACACGACGTACGTCGTGATCCGAAATTAAAAAGAAAAAAAAAATAAAAAATCTCGCTTAACACATACGTAAACGTTATACACAAATCAAAAGTCAACTAAAATTTTCGTCGCACGTCAGTCGTAAAGATTATCTTTGAAAATGTGATGTTCAGCGATGCTCACTGATATTCATATTCCTTTCTGTCCTTCGTAACATCGCTAGCACAGTTTACACTTCCAGAACTATATCTTGCATGATTAATAGAAACATCCCTGATAGACGAAAGAGATAAAGATAGATGGATAGATAGAAAGAGAGCAAAAGAGATATTGAGAAAGAGAGAAAAAGAGGGATGAAAGGCCACCATAAAAATCGTCCTTGTTCCCGTCATTCTCGTTCTCGTCATCGTTATCATTACGATATGGATCAATACCGGGCAGCGTTCACTTCGGCATGAAAAATTGTTGATGCGAGTGTGAGTTCGGCGGTGGATGCAAATTAGGATGCGGCGGCCCGCTGCCTCTGGTACCAGTGGCATAAAGCTGTTGTTGGAAGTTGTGAAACTGTTGAGCATAATTTGGGTCAGACATGCTGGGTCCGCTTCCGACGAATGGACCAGTTTTGAAATTGCTGGTTGCGCCGCCCATGCTCGGCGGTAGAGGCTGAGTAGCATCAGGCGGTGGCCCCAATCCCATCGGACTGGCCTTATTGCCGGATACGCCGTACATGCCTGGATTCGGTTGATTCGATAGATTTTGCGATACCATATCGGGCGGGAAGACTTTGTCGGAATCCATAGAGCCGCCTGGGAAGACGCCGCCTCCTACCATATGCTGCATCCGCATCAAGTTGGGTTGCGGTCGCATATTGCCGACCGGTCTCATTGATGGGTGCATGGTGCCGGAGGTGTTCATGGATTGTCCATCCATTCTGGGTGAGGCACCCATACCAGGGATCCCGGCGGCATTCATATTGGACGGCATACCGCCATGCGGACCCCCCATGTTGTTCGGCATACAACCGTTCGGGAAGTACTGAAGGTTTACAGAGGGCGTCCCTCCCATTTTTGACTCTAGATTGGACAGTGGATTGGTAAATCGCGGAAGGAAATCCAAACTGGGTGGACCCCGAGGTGCATGACCGACGTTTGGCCTGGCCGGCAAGTATTGTATGGTATTGGGTGCATTCGGCTTTACTTGAACATTTGCGCCGTTGTAGGGACTGGGCCCTGCGACTCCGTGGCCCGTTATCAATCTTGGCGGTGGCGCGTGTCCAGGGTCACCGCCAGGATAAGCAGCGCCGGCTGCACCAACACCAGAGTGGCCTCCCATCATCCCATGAGCACCCATTATAGCAGGATGCCCCATCTTGCTGGGAACCCCGCCGGGGCTGCCCGTATGCGAAGTAGTAGGGCTGTAACTCGTTGGAGGACCCGCAAGACCCATACACATACCGCCGACCTCATTACCAGGTTCACCACTGGCTGCACCCATATGACAGCTTCCATTCATTTCACCACCCATCTGCATCATATGCATGCCGGCATGTGGATTGCCAAACGGCATCATGCCAACAGCGTTACCGGAATGCATGGGCTCGTTGCCCAGCGAATTGCTAGCCGCCGTATTCGTGAGCTGCTGGCTCATCTGCGCCAAGGACGTTATCGGATCAAAATTCGTACCCATGGTGTTCAAGCCACCAAGTCGACCGCCAATGTTGTTAGGATTGAGAGGCACGTTGTCAGATGGTTGACTCACGTTTATGGACGGCCTGCCACAAGGGAAAGAAGCACCGGTGGGACCGCCGCTCAACGATGGCACTACTGTCGTATTCCCAGAATTATTCGGATTTACCACCGTAGGCTGTTGTTGTGGAGGCTGCTGCTGTTGTTGCTGTGATTGTTGCGACTGCGTTTGCTGTTGCTGCTGTTGAACATCTTTTACGGACGGTGGAGATGTATCGGGTTTCATGGTAGGCGATGCCGGTACTGTTCGCGGTGGACCCATACTGTCGGGCATGCTGGTGTTGTGCGGCGTCGGACTACTTTGCGCGCTTGCACTGGATTTGTTGCATGGTTTCGCAGGATCCGCTGGAGTATGCGGCGCGGCGCTACCCGGCGTATGTGGTGTGTGCGGTGTGTGAGGACTGTGCAGAGAACCCGTGAAGCCTCGGCTCATGCTATCCATTTGTACAGGACTCGCGCCCTCCGATCTAGTAGGAAATTGACTGTTACTATCTAGACTTCCTGGCAAGATTCTGTTGGGCATCTCCGAAGAACTACCGGTATTCCTATTGTCAATGGGAAAAAAAATATTATAGTTTTGCGCAAGTTTTATGTATGATTACATTAACTGAGATATTTTTCAAATGATATTACTCCATAAAATGAGAGAATGAGGGTACTTACGTAGATGAATTGCCATCTTTTAGACTCGTGTTAGGTTGTTTCTGAATAGTTAGTTCCTGCCCTTCGAATGTGCTAAGGTATTGAAGTTGATGAGGACTCGGTACTGGCATTAGATTTGCTTCTTTCACGGCCGATGCATTAACGTTCCCAGCATGTTGCTGCTTTTGTTGAGCTAAAGATTGTAGTGTTCGGCAAAACATACCGTCCACTAAATCGAAAAGAGACACACAAATTTAATTTATAAATTATACAAAATTTTCATTATATCAAATTACACTTCGAACCAGTGAAAAATCTTTACAAAGAAGAAAGTCTTCAAGTAAACTTACCGTTTGGTTGTTGATTGGTAGGAAAATCGAGGGAAGTATCCTTTTGAGCAGTAGTACCACTAGGACTAAGAGCAGCAATATGGGAATGAGACACTGGTGTTCCTGGATTGCTGTGATTCAATCGCGTCGTTGAAACAGCTGCTGTGGCTGCCGTGGCAACCGTCGGGTTTGGAGAGTCCTGGCTTGTCGGGCTTTGTCCTGGCAGGTGGCTGGTCCTCTGATTACCAAGTTGGAACTGTCTGTTGCAGTCCGCTGGTGAATTCAGAGCGGAACTTGCGCGCGGTGATGGTAGCGATAGGTTGCTGGTAGGATTGTTGGGTGACGATGGATTCGGACTTTGAATTGCAATTGGAACACTGGCGGATCGAGTTGTTTGATGATACGGTGGTGGCGGACCTTGACTTCGCGGTACTCCAACCATATTGGTACCGCGCAATGGTACTGCACCAGGATTACCGACAGTTGCCTATAATACAATAAGTATACGTGCATCTACATATATGTAATTTGTTACGAAAAATAATTTATTCAATTAAACTTATTACGCATACCTTGTTTTTTCCATCAAGAAATTGATGCTGTAATTTATGCCAATCCATAGATGGAGAACATTGATTTGGAACACCTACAGGAGGAACATTCGTGGGAGGACACGTCGCTCCTTGAGCCGCATCTGTTAAAGCATTGCCAGTTTGATCCTCCTTGTGACCGGGAAATAATATCATTTGCATTTTTCGTAAGGTCGCTAGTTGAACTTCTCTGTGCTGCCTTTGTTTCGGCGTCAAATTTTCATCTGGAACTTTGACACCTTGGAGAGATGGTTGTAAACCTCCTGGACCTGGACTCGTTGTGCCACCTAATAAATTCGGACTGTGGCCCATAGTAGTGTTATTAGCGGGTTGAGGGTTGGCTGTAAAACATAGTACACATTAAATTTTGCATACGTAAAATGTTAATAATCGATTTAGAAATGAAATATTTAGTAAAAATTACCTGAATTACCAGGTGAATTCGGCACAAGACAAGGCACGTCTATGTTTCCATCATCCAATGATGGTTCAGAATTACCGAGGGAGTTTCCACCATTTATGTTTCGCAAGTTAGGTTGTTCGTTCCAAAATTGTGGAGCATTTGGATCTAGTGCTGGTAAATCCGGGGGTTGTTCAGTCGGGAAAGTATTATTCGCATTTCCCTGATGGCCTTTCTGTTTCATCATAGCAAGATTATTTAACCATTGAGCAGGATTTTGTCGAAATTGATTTACTTTATTTGGATGTTTCTAAAAGAATAAAAATGATAAATATATATTAATGGTAATTAAATAAATAATAAGAGTAATATATGTATAATGTATTTAAAAAGACAAATTGCGAAAAGTAACATTTTGTATGAAATATTTAATATTAAAAATGATATAAATGAAATACTGAGAGATAAATTACATAAATAAAAAATAAAGTATGAAAATAATATATATCTGTAATATTTCAATAAGGAATTATGGAATAATAAACTTTTCTATAATTAAGAATTTATTTTGTATAATAGCTGCTCAATGTGTGTAATAGAAAATCTATAGTACTGTCGGAAGAATTCAACGCTGCGTATAATACCTCCAAATATTTTTTAGTGCCTGGTTGTGCACAATGATAAGCGATGATTGAATCATATTCGCCTCTCAACACTGTCTCTGCGGCTTTATTCGCCAATGCCGTAGAAAATACAAAAACTTGACTCGACTGTTGCATATATTGAGTTTCCCCGCTGCTCGTACTAGTTCCCATCTGTTTTCCCACGACATTACTAACAAGTGGTTGAATGCTGTCCGCTGTAATAACATTTCCACTATAATCTACAGCAAAAAGGATAATTTGATTAATCTAATATAAGGCATGTGTGAGAAGGAAAACAAATGTATACACTTAACATACATATAAATAAGAACAAAAAGTGAAAAATTACAGATATGAATTAAGTTAATTCTTACCAGGTAAATTGTCCGTGGGATTGTTAGGATCACCCTCTTGCTTGACCGAATTCAGGATGGGCTGATTCCCGTTAGCATTCTGATTCTCCCCAGACATTGTACCTTCACCATTAGATGGATCCAAGCAAGGGTCTCTCGGACACTCGGAGGTATCCTCTCCAGTCGCATCGTCTGTCCCACCTGTGCCTTCTTCCTTGATTTTAACAGGGTCGGCATCAGGCTCATCCTTGACAACGGTGGTAGGAGGACAACAGCTGGGCTCGTTGGGCTTCTTTTCGGTTTTCATGGCTGGAGCTTGCCGCATACGCAAACGAGCGAGCGTGTCAAACCTTGCTGTTATGATTGAACAGCGGGAAAAGACGCATGGCCACTAGCACTAGGTTCGCGTCCTCGATGCCTGGTTGTCGCGTGAGCAAAAGAAGAGAGAAAGGACAGACGAGAGGAGAGAAAGGATAGGTTAACGTTGAGATGCACGTCGCCCAGTGGACCGTAGATCACGCGCACTCACCAGACGGTACCTACGAAACCGTTCGTGGCACGAAGCATCGCCATGTGGTCACTTCCCATAGGATAACACGATGAGATCCGTCATAGAGACAACGGGTTCCGAGTCTATCGCAGTCTATTGCGCGAGAATGTATTATGTGTTCGTTGTGCGAATAAAAGAGGATGCTACGGGGAAGCCTCGCCACTTGAATAAGTGAGAACTGAGAAAGTTTAGCCGGGACGGCCGATTACGTTAGAGCGAACCGGCTGGAAGCTGGGCCGGAGCGCGCGACGGTAGTCCCGTAACACTTGTCCGCGTGGGAGAAAGTTTGTCGCAAGTGTCACCGAGTCGCGAGCACGACCTGCACGGCACGGCACGGCACAACACGGCACGCACCTTTTCGGCTGCTGCTGCTGCTGTGAGTGCTGTGAGTGGTGCTGCTGGTGCTGCTGCTGCTGCTGCTGCTGCTGCTGTTGCTGCTGCTGCTGTGTGTGTCGCGCGCGGCTGCTGCGGCTGCGGCTGCGGCGGTGGCGGAG